GAACGCCAAGTTGTGATGGGAGGAAGATAAAAGAATCGCGTCGTCGCCCGTTCGATCAGCAGAAGATCTTGCTCTGCACCTCTCCGCTCTTTAGGTTGTGAAGTGATCATCGTGGTTCAACCGTCAATCACCCCTGCCTAAGACAACTCCCAGGACCCCTCCTGAACCACTCAAGATGAAGGCAATTACCTTGGCAACCTTGGCCGTGTCGGCGCTCCTCTCTGGAGCTTCGGCCAAGGAGATCGCACCTAGTGAACTCGTCTCTGAGATTTACGACAGCGGTGTCATTCACAAGGACCTCATGGCCCGTAAGAAGGTATTTGATACCGGTGGCTTTGCTTACAGCACTTGATCTAACCTTCGCAACTCATAGGCGTCATGGGATCGCCAAAGAGAGGCCGGAGAGATGGAGTCGACCAAGTACACGAGCCGCCTCGCGGAGGAGGGCCCCGTTTCTTGCGTAAATGGTGTTGCCGAGGTCATCCCTGGCGATGCCAACAACACTTTCAAGTGCAACAAGGTCGACTTCTACGACTTCAAGAGCCACTCCGACCTTGGCTCTACCGCCGGCGAGGGATCCTCTTCTTGGGGTTGGACCAGCCCCGACGGTCGCGAGTTTGCCATTATTGCTCAGGCTGATGGTGCCGCCTTTGCTGAGATCACATCTGCGGGCAAGCTCGTCTACCTCGGTCGCCTCCCGCAGTACTCTACCCAGTCTATCTGGCGTGAGCTCCGCGGATACAAGAACTACGTCGTCATCGGCAGTGAGGCCTCCCGCCATGGTGTCCAGATCTTCGATCTGACCAAGGTAAGCTCATCAACATCATCGTGCCTCAAGTCTCTAAAATACTAACCGTTGGGGATAGCTGTTGGACATTGACCCCGCCAGCCCGGTCACCTTCAGCAACTCCCGTGACCTTACCGGTTACTGGAACGGCCTTCCCGCCGGTTCCACCCACAACATCGTCATCAACGAGGAGAAGCAGTACGCCGTTGCTGTCGGCGCCCAGCCTCGTTCCAGCGCCTGCCGCTCCGGTCTGATCTTCATTGACCTCAGCGACCCCGCCAATCCTACCTCCCCGGGTTGTGCCGCTGGTGACGGTTACGTCCACGATGCTCAGTGCCTCGTCTACCGTGGCCCTGACGAGAAGTACTTTGGCCGTGATATCTGCTATGGTTACAACGAGGACACTTTGACCATCTACGATGTCACCAACAAGAATGAGACCAACATCATTTCTCGCACCTCTTACGAGGGTGCCAGCTGTACGTCGACTTGCTTTGTCCCTCATTGAAATCATGAACTAAGACTGATTGTACATATAGACACCCACCAGGGTTGGGTCACCAACACCGAGTGGCAGGAGTACCTCGTCCTCGACGACGAGTACGATGAGGTTGATGCTACCGGCCCTGCTGCTAGCGGTTACCCCATCACCTACTTCTGGGATATTAGATCTCTTGAGGCTCCTAAGCAGACTGGCTACTACCGCAGCGAGGCTTACGGCATTGACCACAACCAGTTCGTCATCGACGGCCTTGCCTTCCAGAGCCACTACGGTGCCGGTCTCCGCATTCTCGACGTCTCCTCTCTCCCTGATGACCCCACCGGAGGCGGCGTTTCCGAGGTTGGATTCTTCGACATCTACCCCGAGAACGACAACGAACCCCTTGGCGGATCCATTGACTTCGTCGGCACCTGGTCTCACTACCCTTACTTTAAGAGTGGCCACATTCTGATCAACACGATCGAGCGTGGCGCTTTCGTTGTGAAGCGCTCTGCTTGAAGGATTCAATTCTGAGGTTGAAATATACCTGCGTGTTTCCATGTTTGTCAGAAGGTCATCTCTAAAGCAGTCCGCTGATTGAAGATGTATGAGTAGGACAACTCAGCTTTAATGATAATGATGGAATAACCTCGAGGCAATGACATACATCTCTGAATTCGAGCAAGTGAAACTGCAATACCAGCGTCTCTCAGGTTCTCAACTCATAGCCGAGTTATTACAGTGAAGTATTCAGTCACTAATTGTGGACACTGAGCAGCATTACCTCGCTAAGGGACCTGAACTGGAGACATTGCACTTTGAAGTGAAGAAATTTTGTTCTTCACCACAACCGATACCTGCGCGTTTGAATCCATATTCTATATTCATGAATTGTCCATCACGCCATGTTTTGAAATAAGATCTACCTACATTATAGAACATGTTGTATCATTAAGCATTTGGCGCAATAACGCCTATATTCTCCCCGAAACCTTGTTTTTAATCAAGGTCACCTGACCTTGTGATGCTTGAAGGTCTCAACAAGAAGGACACTCTCATTCTTATTATGACTCTATTGCCCACACCGGTATACTCAATCCACTACCATACGAAATGGATTATTGTCAAGAGGGGCTCATAATTGGGAATCACTAACTTCAGTCTCTCTTCGGCCGGCCAAAAGGTCCGAGAGCCGCTATTCTGTCTTAGTCTGATGTGACCGTAGCAACACTGCCTTTTAGAGTTGCGACTACGAAACGCCACGAGTCATCAGTCAGCGCCAGATCAACGTCTGCGCGACCAGAGCGTTCCCCAACAGCACCTCTTTGGGTCTAGTTGACATTACGGACAAGCGTTTTCTCGACCCCGACGCGCTCGACACTTCAATTTCGGCATTTCGAAGTCTCATCTAAGAATGCTAAACTTCATGTCTCCCCAAACCTACTGTAGGGAAACGCGCCTGCATGTGGCTAAATGAGACGACAGCTTGAAAACCCCGCCAACTTCATGTATCCAAAGCCTGCCGACGACATTCACGCATCTCCCATGGGCGACCGCCCAACAAAAGCCTCGCCTCGATAGATGATCACTGTTCGACGTATGCGTCGGCGGACGGACGCGCGCCCTTAAGCATGGCGATCGGTCAACTGGACAGCATCCTGAGACGCGATGACAAATTCCTGAAGGAGATGTGGACTTGGTTCGGTGTTGGAGCTCTCGTCATACTGTTGCGGTTTTTCGTGAGAATCCGCATGGTTGGCCCCAGAGGTCTCAAGGGAGACGACTACACAATGCTTGTTGTAAGCCGGAAACGAGCATGCATTTGTCAATGGCGTGACGTTGCGCTAATATTTCATGTGGATAGACTTTGTTCTTATACACGATCTGTTTTGTGATGGTCGACCTAGTGTGTGAGTATCACCTCTGATAATGAGCATTCAAGGGATGAAGATGATTTGGCGGTACTGATATGTGTAAACCTAGACCGATATGGCACGAACGTGGATCTCACCGCTGCCCAAATCAGCACCCTCTCCGATGAAGAAGTGGCACGACTTGTACAAGGTTCCAAGTTCCAACAAGTAGCTTGGTATTCATACACCGCATACTTATGGTCTATGAAAGCGACCCTGTTATTTTTCTAGTATTTCGCTCTCCTGGTCCTTCCGAAAGACAGAGACTGACAGTTCTGAAGTAAGCGAATGACGTTCGATTTGTGGCAGAGTGCGAGAGTTCTGAAACACCTGGCCTGGTTTACGATTTTATCATACCTGGTTGTAGTCGGAACGATAAGCTTTAGCTGCATGCCGTGAGTGATAGACTCCCAAGTTCCACTGGAAATTTGGGCTAACGGCATCCTACAGGTTTTCAGATAATTGGGGAGTGAGGCCCCTACCCAGTGAGAAGTGTGTTTTCAAAGCCCAAAATCTACTGGTCTCGACATTTCTCAGTAAGTCTAATAGAGAGTCTAGTTGGATAACTCAGTGCTCCAAGCTGACCAGAGACAAGATGTTGTGACCGATGCAGCCATTCTTTGTCTGCCGCTGCCGGTTCTGAAGGAAATCAGGGTACCTTTCTACAAGAAGATATTCATAGCAGTACTAATATGCTCCGGTTTATTCGTCATCGCGGCCGCGATCATGCGAGTTGCGGTAACTTTGGGATCAGAACCTTCAACAATTACGGTAAACCGATGGGGAGTCCGAGAATGCGAAGTTGGTCTGATTGCTGTCAACGCACCCATTCTACGTCCTTTATTCTCCCGGAGGTTTTGGCAGTGGCATTACCGACCGCCGGCTCGCCCGTCAAATCCTATGGAAAGTGCAAGAAGGAGCCGAACAACAGTTGGCGGCCACAGACGGAGAGTCATTAAAGAAGACTCACTTCTTGGGTGGGTGAATTCTACTACTTCAAGAATAGGAACCATTGTGGGAGGGACTCGAGATCATGGGAACGCGAGGGACGTGGAATTAGGGGATGCGTCCAGTGAACAGGAGTTGGAGCCTCTTGACAAGGGTGAGGATAATGAGAGCCGGAGTTCCCATATCCCCGCCGGACGACGAGACAGCGAGAGATGATTGAGTTTACACGAACACATCGGCTTTGACTCAAGACGAACACTTGAAGAGGAAAGCAGCACATTCAGGATTTATTTGGTGTTAATGAAAAGCAAGTCTTAAAAGAATACCCAGCGGTGTAGTAGCACAATAGAGTTGGTGGCTTACACTTGTGTAACTAAGGTCATTCGGGGTCATGCCAGATCCACCAGAGCTCAACAAAGTCAGAAAGGAGAACAGTAAGCCGAAACGCCGCCTTGCAAAACCAAACTCCAGGCTCTCAACCTAGCACCAGCTCACAGCAATTTTGCAGAATGCGGTCAGGGAATCCGACCAGCCAATTACTCGAGTCCATCCGAGTCTCACTTGCCCATTTACTGCAGCAAACATCTTACTCTCTGTCTCCCTGTCTAAGCTCCATTATCGATTCTCCGGGCCGTCCACAATATTCACGATCGCTTTTCTCGGGACATTTACTCAGTCAGTCTGGCCAGTATACTTGGCTTTCAGTCATTCTCAGGTCTCGTAACGTCAAGAAAGCATCCGGAAATTCAGAGACTCGAATCTTACAATACTGACATGGTTGTTGTTCACTTTATGATGCTCTTCCTCATCTTGGTCAGCCTCTCGATACCGCATTCGCAAGCTCGGACAGCTATGGGTAGCCAGCTGAATTTCACAAAAAACACTTGGGGCTCTCGGGAAGCTCTTCAGTGACGGTCGATACGGGAGTTGATTGACTACGCTCGACGCCCTCTTGAGAGGCATTCTCGGGTTCAGTGTCCGTGGCGGGATGGTGCAAAGGCCACAGGAGGATTCTGCTTGGATAGACTGGACCTAGGAGCCGAAGCTGCTCATCTAGGTCAGTTGCTTGGGTCTCACTCACAGCAGTCATGACTTCGTGAAGGAAGTCATCCTCATAATACGCGAAGTCGTTCTCGGCCTGCACAATCGGGTAGATCAGAGCATCGATGCCGGCATTGACGCGAGCGTTGACGTCTTGAGCACGAAGCGGACAAGGGGTATCGGCTTCGTCATTGCTACTGGCATTAACGTCTCGAACACGACAGGGACGAGGAGCACCAAACTCGTTATGGCTGGTAGCATCCTGGCCACCGCTGACAGTCTCCGAATCTTCCAGCCAGCCAAGCACAACGCCTCGGTTTAACAAGGGGTCTTGTGGCTGGACAAGCACCCTGTGTGGTGGTACGGGAGGCGGCGCATTTGCGATGGGGCCGAGCAAGAAGTCAATGGAATCTTCTTCGTCCCACTGAGAAACGCCAGCAGCGCTAGTGGGATTCTCAATGACCGTAGGGACATCATCAGTGTCGAGATCGATCACGTCAGAAAGCTCGTGCTCGAGGTAAGCGATCGAATTCGGCGAAGGAAAGAAGAGCTGACGAGGCTCGACAATGGGTAGGAAGGGAACCACAGGAGTGCCAAATGCGCTCTCGTCGAAGAGAGGACCGAGAGATGGAGGCGAGTCCGGTCGCAATCTGGTTTGTTGTCTTCTGGTATACTCGATGTCTCTGGGCTCAGTCGGCTTTTTGTTACCTCGAGCACGCAGTGGAGATGGACGCTTGAATTTGCGGCTAGCATCAGCCTTGGATCGCTTGATGATGCTCAGAGGCGCGGGGACCATAGATGGGTCAACAAAGCCGTTGTGCTTTGTTAAAGGAAGGGCCATAGGCAAAGTCGGTTGATTGGAAGGTCCATTTCCGCGGTTGTTGACTTCCTCATTTATGGTGAACAATGGCTTTGCCTCAACGTTGGGGTGTATAGGTTGGCTTCCGTGAATGATTGGCTTGCTCTTCGCCGGGATTTGCAGTGGCAGAGGCTCTTGAGATGCAATGAAAAAGTCCCTTTCACGGTAGTCCCAAGCAAGTCCCTCCCGACTGTGTCCAAGTTTGAGGCTAGACAGAAACTCGTCAATATCTCCAATCACTTCTGTGATGAGCTCAGGCCTCTGATGCTCTTCCTGCGCTTCAGCACAGACCGATGAGACACTGAAGGACCCGGAATGGCTGCAATAAAGCTCTCTGGGAACATGAGATGGAATGGGGTGGTGGATGTTATCGACATCCCTGACAAGTGTGATGACCGAGATGTTGTCGTAATCTCCGTAGGAAGTTTCCGAGGTCTGCTGTGGGAAGTCAAGCTCGTATTCTGATTGAGAACCAATAGAAAGCTGGAAGAGTCTTGTAGGCTTGAGCAAGCCATCTGCGGTCCTGTTGCGACTTCTATGGCCGAAAAGGGGACGAGAGGGTCGAGAGGGAAGTTTTTCAAGAGGACTCAAGAGACTTTTAGAGGCCCATTCTGCTTGAATTCCATAAGTATCAATACTTGTCGCAGTAGAAGAAAAGGAAAGCAAACCTGGGCTTGGGGATCTCCGTCGCGATTCCTCAACGCTTGAGGTATCCGAGAGACCAGTCTCAGAGAGCTCAGACAATCTCTAATTGCCTTCAGCGTCTAGGAACTGATTGAAAGAGGTGTATTCCGGGAACACATTGCTAGCATTCGCGAGATGCTAAGTTCTGGGCACGTTTTCGTTGCACTCTGCAATAGAGCGAGTGTCTACGTCACTGTTGACATCAATTGCCTTGGCCATTTGCGAGAAATTTGCCATCGTGAAGCTGGCATAGATCGAAGGTCGACGCAAAGGCCCTATTGTAATTACTTGACGCGTAAAAGTAATGGATCGAGACGCGTTGGACAAGAGATGACTGCTATCGACCAAAAGCTGGCCGCAGTCCCATTGATAGGAGCTTGAGTCTTCGCACATTTTTGGCGTTGGGTGAGGGTTCCTGAACAACAACGCAAGGACTTGCTGAACAACACAACTAAATGGCATCTTCAATGACTTGTATCACTGAAAGCCATCAAGGTCAGTCAGGAGAAGAAGTAGTGATCCTCATTTGCTTGGGATCTGACGAAACGCAGCCAATAAAGCTGGTGGAAGATGCCAAGTTGCGAGAAGATGCTTACCTGACTATATCTGACGAGTATGGGCTTCACGATCATTGGTGAGTTGATGATATCTTCCCGCTCGGCTCTGGAGAGAAAAGGGACCGGCGCACTAGAATGGGATGCGGCAAGTAAGTAGCCAGGTGCATGCAAGAGCCATCAATCCAGAATGGAAGAAGAGTTGTTTAATCACAAATGTGGTCAAGCTAGGTTGATTTCCTTGCCACGGCGGGAAAAGTGTGCGAAGGGCAAAGGATCTGCGGAATGTTGCGCAAAGTCGCAGAATTTCGCGGAAAGTCTTGCGGTGATGAGGAAGAAAAAGGGAGGTCAATACGGCGAGGAGTGAAAGGAAGTTTAAGTAGTCGAAGGACCGTCCGAAGGGCGGTAGGTCGTCCCATGTTGATGCGGCGAGGTATCTCGAAGCATCAGTCACTGGACCAGTCCCGAGGACCCACTACGAAGCTTCACCTGGCCATCTAAATTACCCAAAGAGGACTCATCTTAGACTTCACCTTTCCGAAAGGGGAAATCGTCACTCGACGGACCTTTCGTTTGGCCCCAGGATTTTGGTGGATCTCTCCCGTTGTGAATTCAGCACTCGGTAACACCTGGAGCTTACACCTACTGTCAGCTTCACAGACGGAAGTTTCAACCACAAAGCCCGGTATCTACGTCAGATTGTTGAAAGGGCCCAGGTATCCTCTGACAAGGACCGCAAGGTCAAGGACACTGGTTTGACATTACTTTGGGGTTTTGGAGAGATGGTATTGCTCGTTGTACTTTAAGATGGGAAGCACACAGACCGATGTTGACAATACTATTAATGAATTCCCTTTTCGGCGACCTTGCGAACCACACGACCTGAAGGCAGCGGCTTGTATGACAACTCGGCTTTGGCGGTTGCTCCCTTGCCCATGGTCCATTTCTTTATGCTTCAACACCCTGAGCAGGCATAGAATCTTGGTTCAAGCCGTAAAGTCCTAAGATAGATTCGTTCCAGACAAATCTTCATACTTTCATCGTCTCTTCTCAGGCTAGAAAGTATCTGACTATTACTGGATCATGTCCGCAGGCTCACAGTCAGTGATAGTCGGGCTGGATATTGAGGAAGTGGAGCTAATTACCTTGTTATTGGATACCTACGCCAAATAGATCTAGGTACAAAGTCGTATGTATATTCCCAAACGCCAGAATATCGATTCTCAAATCTACAAAGTTCAGTCTGGGAGGATTTAAGAAATAGACTCGAGGCATGTTCATCTCATGCATTGTTGAGTTCGCCTCGGACTGTTGGATCTTTCTTGTTCCCACCCCTGTCTTTCGTGCCATCTCGCTAGTACAAATTTGTCGCATCCGGGGTCAAACTGTGAGCTTACGCCCAGTTATCGGGCCCACGCAGCAACTTGGTATGCGTCGATAGCGTGGAAGGGACCCAGGGCAAGCTGAACCTTTCCTCGCTGCTCGTTGGTCCCGAATAAGAGCGCCTCCTCCTGGTAATGCAGTGTGAGCCCATCAGCTGCCGAGCCTCCCAGAGCGTACAACCGGCCCTCAATGCATTCATGCAGGTTTCTGGTAGGGTACCAGCATGCCCTGGCATGAAGAACCCATGTAGCCTTAAGTTGCTGCCTGCTGTTTTCACGATCCAGGGAAGAAAATCCTTCTCATCTGCAGTCAGCATTCATGTGGGAGCAACGCTCAAGAGTTCGTTAGATGTGGGCCTCCCTACAATATAACTGATTGTCAATCACCCACACATTTGAAGTAATAATCAATTGAGCGGCTCTTTCATCCTGGCATCAGCTCTTACGCACTTGCTGCCACACCAACAAACTCGTTGACGATGTCGGACCAAGCCGATGCTCCGGTCTTTGGCGCTTTCAGTTCACTGCTAGGTTACGTTGGGGGACAAGCTGCCACCAGCGCGATCTTCGAGAGGTTTCTTTGGCCTCAGCGGAATTTCTCATCGTTTTCCATCTACGACATGCCGCGACTGGCATGTTTGTACTCTATGGCAGGCCCTATTGGGTCAATTGCTCTCGAGGTTATCGACACTGCATATAAGAATGGACTCTTTAGCGGTGCTGTACAGGGTCATATGCTTGGAACACACTTTTACCGCGACCTTGAATGGACCTATATTTTGCACGCCCGCGGAGGAGAATCTGAGAGGGAATCGCAAATCCGAAACTGCCTTTGGGTCCAGGCCCTACTCAACATGCCTCTCCCAACCATCAAAGAGCCCTCAATCCGACAACCAAATGACACCGAGAGCGGCAACGTCACTGAAGAAAAAGCGAAACCAGTGCGCGCAAGAGTTGCCGTTAGCCACTTAGTGCTCTCAAAAGCTACAGATGAAGACCTTGGTAACTCCAAGGTCCCTTTCATTTCGGAAGAGATCAAGCGTGTTGACTTGCTCTGCTTGGTGGAGATTATTCTAACCGAGTGTGTTGGCATCGGCATCATGATTTGCGTAGCCACAATCACTCGCTCGCTGTGGAGCATCATCTTCATTATGCCGCTCATCCTTCGAATTATCGGCACCTTATTCGCTCTTGAACGTGAGGGACTAACGCCCTTCCCGGACGCAATTGACGATGAACAGACACGGGACTGGGAGATCAATTGCCCGGCAATCGAAGGAAAATTCATGTTAATCACCGGCCCGCCCTCTATCGTCAACCAATTCTTTCGCCATTACGGACATCCTGTGAGAAATCGATTCCGCGAGGTTATCCAGCTAGCTGTCGTCATTGCCTTTGGGACTTATTTCCCAGTGGGGCTCCTTTGTCAAGTCACCTGGATGCCCGTTTTTGTACAGTACATCTGGACAGTTTGGCAAGTCTGGCAAGTCTTGGTCATGCATTTCGATCGATATACCCAAAGAGGGACCAGCCGCACGACTACAGATGCCGCTATCGCAGCGAAGTTATTCAAGAGTTTCCAAACTGGTGACTCTGACAGAGTTTTCGCAAGCGATATCTTGTTTGGGCAGAGGAGAAACGGACCTGCTGTTGTAAAAGCCAGTTTATCATTGACAGTGGCGGATAGCTATGCAGACGGAAAGAAAGTTTTGAAGAGCAAGATTCGGAAATGAAGGAAGGAAGGAATGATTTGCAATGTTTCACAATGTTCGTTAATATTTTCTTTTGCTAGAAGTTGTTTTGCAGACTCGCTTCCTCTCAACCGTGAAATGCGAATGTGACTTCTCAGAGTACAGGGCTTAGAGCTAGCAAAGGGGCGATCAAAGAAAGGGACTTTTTCAGCTGCGTACAAAGCCGTGATTTATTAAATGCACAAAATTACTCTTGCAATATCTAAACTGCACCAAGGCTCGCATTCTGAGGCAAAAGTCCACAAACATCAACGAAACAATGAAAATGGTCGATCTCAAGGACGAATGAAAATGCGCCGCAAGATTCCGACTCGCAGCCGCCACACTATCGCTGGGTTACAGGTGATGACTGAGAGCCTTAGGACTTTCTTGGCTGTCGTATTGTCACACAGCACATGCAGTTGCGAGGCCTGAATCCCACATCAAAGTTCGATGTGATATGGACCTCACTAAGAGATGAAGAAAAAGTCACAACTGAGTAAGCTAGTCAGTATTTGAAACCTCTTGTGAGAGACCTGTAAGCTGGTAACTTACTCGACAGCTTTGACAAGGGAACATAAGGCGCAATGACCCTAGTCCACTGCAGTACACATGATGTTACATGACCTTGAGGCTCTTTTCATATAAGGTAGGTTGCATCAATCAAGAAGATTTTGCCTTGTGATTGAATTCGTGGGGGGCTTGGTGGTCATCCTTGTTGTTATCTCCATGTCGATCGCCAATAACTTCACCATTGCATGCCTGGATGTTCAGCTTCGTTGTTGTATGATGTTCCGAATTGCCTTCAAGTAGTATCGGCTGAGAAGCGATAAAGTCGTCTTGGTTCTGCATGTCGTAGTGCATTTGCTGGATAATATCCTCCTCCAAGTACTCCAAAAGACCCTTGACACCAATATGGGACCAATACGGGCTGTCTCTTCCCGCGGAAAGTCGGTATTATCGAAAGCCTCGCAGTCAAGACCGTCCTCATACTCGACAATATCTGACTCTTGGTATTTGTTCATCATGTTGCGACGTTCTTTGAGCCTACTCGAGGCACCCAAGGTGCACAAAGTCGCTTCTCCTGCTCCATTCTCATCAGAGATATCTACTGGCCATGAGTCTATAAAGGCTGTTTGCACACTAGAGGTGGAGAGGCTGAAATCCACTTCGAAGAATTCATCTGATGCCTCCACGAATTTGTCAAGGAAATACCTCATTGACAGCGACTCAGGGTAGTGTGGAGTGACATTGACCAAAGTGCAGCCGGAATCGTCTTCAGCTACCAGGTGACCAAACAAGATCTCTTCGCACATGATCGGAAAGAAGTCGAAGTATGAAACATAGTCAATCTCTTGTCCTTCTCCACTCTCCGTGGAAGAAATCACAGAATCACCGTCACTGGACCAGTCTCAGTCACTCCCGGCGTATTCTGAGTCGGTTCTTTCAGCGTTTGTACACCCAGAAATCATCCTTCGATGGGAGACGATCAAGGAGTAGGCACCGACCGTACTCTTGGGGGAACTGGCTTCCTGGACGTATTCACCCCTAGAGAACGTGTGCCTTGGCCAGGTGAGACTCGATAAGCTTGAAAGATCTTTCTGCCGAATCCACAGAAGGGGGTCTCATGATCGAGATAAGCTGCGAAGGCGCTTGTTCGGGCAAAGCTGAGTCCAAGTTGGGCTGTAGTGGTTCGGATTGATGTGGCTTTATGGATGATACCACTGTGCGGAAGTGATCATGTACTACAAGTTGGACGAGCTGGTGCAACCCTATTCGCAAACGGCCAATGACCATGTTCAGCCAGAGCTGAGACAATGGAGCCTTTGTTCGTGGAGTCTATGTGAAAGAGTCTGCCAGTTCTTTCATCATACTTGTGACGGAGTGTCTTCTTTGAGATAATCGAGCACGTCTTACTGGCTTTGTCCATCATGGTATCATTTGACGTGTCTTGGGAGAAATTCCGTATCCATGTAAGCTTTTGGCTGCACAAGACGAAGGCTTGCAGAGGATGGACCTCCTCGCTTGGGGATTCTGGAGATGTGGCAGCCTGGTAACTTCGATTTGCTGATACGATAAAATAGAAAGGGGAAAGTTTGATTGATAATCCTGAATCATCACAATACCGCTCGTTGACATCAAGTAAGGGACACCTCGCCGCGGGAATTGAGATTAGGATGAGAATAAAAGTAGAAATCACGCGAAGCTAGTGTCTCAATCGATGCGAGACCTCACTTCTGCCAATAGCGATGTGGATAAAGAAGGTCTCGAAAATCACGCTGATAGAGGGCGCGTTAACACGTCCAGATGCTATGGCAACAACCGTACCAGCCAAACTGTCTCTGTTATCACGTGCAATGGCCAAGGTACAATGGCGGCGAAGCTGCAGTCAATCGAAACGGTGAAAGGTGAAGTCTATCAGACTGCTAACCCAACCCTAAGACGGAGTTGGCAAGTAAAAAGTGGAGTTGTCAGGGCTATCTGGGCGAAGAAGTTGCCCGAAACGCACCTCGGGCGTTCTCGTGATTTTCCTCATTAGGAAAAAGCGGCTGGCCATTTCAACTTCACCTCGAACAACGTAAACAATTGTGGGTCTCCCGTTATACAATTGAAGGATCCACTAGGCACCAATTACTGCTTCAGAACCTGGCGCGTTGGCATCTCTACACTTCACGTTGATATCCTCTGGTCCGGTGGCCACCTCGAGAGTCGTGCTCACACAACAACGGCCTAAAAGTTATTGCTTCACGCGGCGCCTTATCTCATCCTGATAGACAGGCTCTGACATTCCGCAATCCTGCAGAAATCTTCCTTCTCGCCACCCACTGTGTCACCGCGACTTTTCTCGCGACTTTTCTCCAGATACCGTGGTGATCAGTACAAACCTACTTCATTCCTGAAAAGCTAACCGTAGCCTATTGGCGCGGTCTTTCCTCAACTCTCAACACTGGAAGAACTCCGATAGAGTCTTCTGTGAATCCGGTCCATCGATCTTTACTCCAACTCTCGAGTCTGCGAGCTTCGTCTGCCGTAGATTGCGTCGTCGTGAAAGCACGCCGAGATCCGTTGCGTGACGTAGAGCTATCTATCCCAAGTAATTTGATTCGCTGCTCACTGCAATTCGCTGGACCTGAACAAGAGCTAATGACCGCAGAATCCAGTATGGGCTTCTTCCGCCGCATGTTTGCTTTCTTGGAAGAAGGTTCACACCATGCCTTGTCCAAGGGCAAGCCAAGCCGAAGTCTTATGAGCGCCGCTATCGCCCTCAACAAGATGGGTCGTAGGCCATCATCCAATAGCTTCCGAGGAGAAAATGTGGCTTCCAACAGCCTAACGACTACTCGATGCCACGCTGCCACTTGCGAAAGCAGCTCCGAATCCATCTCGAACCACTCTGCGACTGCCACAGCCCAAGACGAAAGCCAGCTTTGCGTCCTGAACGATGCGATCGACTTTGAGCCCGAGAAGCAGCTCGCTATTCGTATTCTGAGATGCAGAGTCCCATCCACAATGAGCCCTCGCTCCTCCATTGAGTCCATCAGCCCTGTCAAGGTTCACGAGGCTGTCTAGTGGACGCGCTTCGAGAGCCAGGAGGGTCTATGTTCTTCATCATTGGGGTCAAACACAATCACGACCTCACCCTTAAGCGTCAAAAGCTCGAACAAAGAAAGATTTCCCGCTTATCCAAGCATCTCTGGCTTGGAGCCTTTCCCGCTGCTTAATGCAGGTTCCCGTCGCACATTCAAGAGTAAGCAGAACGTTTCTGGCCTTTCCGATCTGTACCAGGGTCAGGCATTCCCTCCTATCGAGCATCTTCTTACCAAGCCAGAGAGGCAACGAATCCGACAAGTCTCAGTCTCTCATGTATCGACAATCAGCTCAAGCTCCCTTAGTAAACAATGTGATCTAGACGAAAACGTTTTTGTCAGATTCCCGTCTTTTGAGCAGGCTGGGGTGAAGCAGCTCGGCGAACTCCTCGAGCACGAGAGCCGCTTTGCTAAGTACCATGAAGAGGATGACGATTGCGATGAGTGGGGCATCCAGTGCGGTGGCATCGACGAAGCTGCGGTCTCGTCGAAGAGACACCCCAACATCGTCAACTACGAGAAGTACATCGACAACAGTGTGATTCAACAGATCTCTGAAGATCTTCCCGAGGCCGAGAATGCCGATTTCAAGACTGCCACAAAGTCGGCTCGCAACTTGCGATTTGGCAACTACACCACCGGCAAGTATGTGAAGATCAAGTCGAAGCAGGATGATGGCGTGTCGAGGCCGCAAAAGAAGCCGGGCAAGTGGGTTGCTGGTCTCCTTCGTAAGGCCATCAGTCTCTTCTTTCCGAAAGTTGCCCAGCCTGCCCTGTCCCTTGCCGCTGAACCGCGAGTTCGTTTCTGCCATCCTCTTGGAATTATCTGAAGTACTTTATACGATGGAGACGCATCACGCTTGCGTCTGATATCAACACAAGATGCATTGCGATCACGGGAGCAAAGGTAAGAGAGCCTCAGAAACCTAGACTGTGCCAATATGCTGATGATAACAAGGTTTCTAGATGATTACAACCGTCTTCCTCCATCCTTGATGTTTCTGTAAGTTGGGAACACTATTTGCAGCTATGGTTTTGTGCGCAAAGTTCACATATCGATGCAAGTTTATTATGTGGCCCGTCAGTGATTACGCGAAGTCGACCAAAGACCGAGGTCACAGATCAGTGATGGGTTATGGTTATGCTTTAGTAGGAAGTTTCGTTTGGTTGTTTGTGATGGTTTTTATACTTGCTGGAGTTTGGTTCCAGGCATTTTGCTGTTATCCCAGGCTTTATCATTCCCGTTGTCTGACAAAAGTTCCATTGTCTGACGAGGCTTTGTTTACGTCTATGTACTGGAGGTGGAATTATGGACATCGGGATTGTGAAGACGGTTTCTTTTTCTTTCCGCAGCGAGAGGGTTTCCTAATATGAACCATAACCTTTTGCATTTCCAAACTTTGTTCGCGAGTCAACGTCAACGAGTCCGTGAATTTTTAGCTGCCCAGCCTCTTGGAAATCCATGACAGACTCATGGTCAGATATTGCTTGAGTCGTAGACCGCTGGTGTCAGTCGCAAACCACACATTATTCGCATTTGACTATACCTCAATCAGAAGTCGGCGATGCTAGTGCTTGACCAAAGTAGCTTCGGCGTTTGTGCCTGGCGCTAATCAAGATCAACTATCGCCAATGGAGAGATAGGTTCGACGACCATTAGCCTTTGCAGAAGTTCAAGTCGTCGTCATCATCTTCAGGGCGCCGGCATCGAGTCCCTCCAGGGCGTGCACGCCACAAAGGGCTACAGCCAAACTCAGCGATGCTTGCCATCCGTTCTTCCTCTCGCACGTATCCATACCACGACTCGGCGTCATCCGAGCCTCTGGAACGGACTGTCGCATAGGCTTGCAGATGCTTCGACGCACAACTGCATTTCCGCATCGTCCCTGTGACAACCACCTAGCCGCATCGCAATTCTTATTTGAGATCATTCGATGCAGTACCGGGTTGCCGGCACCTAAGGGATCCTGAAAGGTGCGTGAGCGATACGCTTCGATGACAGGATTCCCGAGGCGGTGCAGCTTAGCGCAGGGGGGATTATCCTCGTTAGCTTGGCTAGCGCAGAGACCCCGCGACCTAAAAGACGGGATGTGGATGGTCAATAACGCATGTCTTGGGTCATCTTCATGAATCACGTTGACCTCTGAATATGCTCTTTACTATTCGTGGTGATCTGACGTGTCAGCAGCTGAACGAATCTCTTATGGGCAATAAAGAATGGAGTCGAAGGGAAGTTTTTAATGTGAAAGCTTTCGGTAGTTTGTTTCCAAAGATTACAATTACGCAATCCGATGTTGAACGCGTTTCCCCCACCGTATTGGATTAGCTCGAGGTCAAAACTCGGACGCAAAGACACTTGAGCCGCTGCCTTTTCAAAGCTGCCCCTGAGCTTCGACGCCAGAAGAGGAAGAAGCCCGGCCGGCACGAAAGAAAACATGATTTTGCTCTTAGCGTTCCCCACCAGTCAATGACAGTTTTCTGATGTTTTGAGATGGACTATCTTTTCATATCCACTCTGAATTAGCTCGACCCTCCGGATCTCCGTTTAGAAGTTTCAGGGTGTTGTTCGTCGTTCCCGTCCTCGGCTTGAACGACAGCCAGCGTTTCGTTTGTACGAGAAACTCAATCTGCTGCACCATTGATAGCCGCATGTGCAACGATTGGTGATTGTGCAGCCCGGGAGCATACCGCACCTCGCACCGAGGTTTTTGAGCTGCAGACCGAGAGCCTCAAGTTTGCCTTTGCTTTGAGTCAGACGAAGGATCTGTTGCCGTATGAATGTGAATGGCTCGTGTGCAAACAACATACGTGCGGTACTCGCGAGTACGTAGCTGACCACACAAACTCTATCCAAGCCAGCCGCACAACAACGCTCACGCCACACCCGCTCTACGACCAAATGGTGGCTCACCTGAAGCTGTCGAGTGGGACTCCTTGATAGTATCTGACTCTTGTCAGGTCAGCGAATATGGTCCGATGATGCTGCTGCCTGACCCAAACCCTCGAGTCACGAGAGAGGCGAAAGCTGGACTTAGAGTCCCTCTCAACATAGTTGATGGGCATGACGCCCATAGGATCATCCGACGAACAAGTTGCCGGAACCTTCAGAACCTGCAACCCATAATTGGAAACGAGGTCAAAAGTTCGTATCAATTAAGCTCATCGGCATCGCAGAAGTTACCAGAGTCTCGGCCTCAACTTTGCCGGCACTGGGTCACACGTTGACACTAGAACAACAGGGACCTAGCTAGTACCTTGCATCCATTCTTAGACCATGGGTGAGATGCTAGCGCGGACATGTGCCGTCAAGGAGCACCAGTGCTGATGCAGATCGGGTTAAGCTCATCAGCCTCAGCATAGCAACACGGATAGGCTTCCCGAGTCCGACTCTCCCTACGGGCGAGATCAACGACGATCAACTGGGGTGTTGTACGGTACTGGGATGCTGTACCCCAGCCGTTGAAGAAAGTCCGTCTCGTTTTTAGATGTTGGCTAACTAGACTCGAGCCTCCTTCAAGGAGTATATAGCTCAAACATGCTCACCCTCTTTCTTGGCTTTGGGAATCATCAGCAGTCACTCACTTAGACATCTGACAACAGTCTTTTCACACACATTCGTTTCTTACTTTACCGAAAAGGTTAGCTGCCAAGATGGTCGCCATCAAAGGCATGGGAGGCGTCCTTGGCTGGTTGTTCTCAATCCAAGCGTCTCTGAGCCAAGACAAGACCAACGGGTAAGACAACTCTCTTAGCACAGCTTGGCTGCATTCTCCACGGGACATCAACTCAACTAACATGAACCCTTGTGCAGAAAATCCCCTCTTGGCACTTTGAATGCTGCCAAGCTGCCACTCTTTATGAGAAACAACCCGCTCCCCAACGGCTTTCCCTGGGGCAAGCTTTCCGCCGATGGCACCAACTACTACAAGGAGTGGCCCAATACCGGCGTCACCCGCAAGTACGACTTCACCGTCAGCCGCGGTGTGATCGCCCCTGATGGCTACGAGCGCAAGGTCCTGCTCGTGAACGGTGCCTTTCCCGGCCCTACTATTGAGGCCAACTGGGGTGACTGGATCGAGGTGACGGTCACGAACAACATCACCGATGGCCCTGAGGGAACCGCGCTCCACTGGCACGGATTCAGACAGCAGAACACCCAGTGGGAAGATGGTGTCCCGGCTATCTCCCAGTGCCCGATTGCTCCCGCCAAGACCTACACTTACAGGTTCCAGGCGACTCTGTACGGAACTACTTGGTATCACTCTCACTACTCCTCTCAATACGCTGGTGGCTTGTTCGGACCCATGGTCATCTATGGCCCTGCTAAATCTCAGCCTGAGATTGATCTTGGCCCTATTATGCTCTCTGGTAAGTTGATACTGTGCAATCCTTCTTGCAATAGCTACAGTATCTTCTGCGATGGATGGCTGCTCATGGCTATTCCGGAGTCGGCCAGCCATGCGCTCTTTAACCGGGGCCGGTGACGGAGGTGTGGGTACCCGGGGCTGGTTCCTGAGTCCAATCTCAACCCCGGTTTCGAGGTGGAGCTATCCGGACAGCCGAATGCAACGCCTGCAATGATCACCACTTCAAAAGAATCAAGGCGCTAACGTCTCCCAGATTGGTACCACAAGCAATACTTCGATCTCATTGAGGAAATCTTGCAGGTTAATGGCAGTGGCTTGGTCTTCTCGGACAACAACCTGATCAACGGCAAGGGTAACTTCAACTGCTCCACCGTTGCGACTGGAGATAACACCAAGTGCACCAACAATGCCGGTATCTCCAAGTTCAAGTTCCAGACCGGCAAGACCCACCGCCTCCGTCTCATCAACTCCGGTGCCGAGGGAACCCAGCGCTTCTCCATCGACGGACACACCCTCACCGTCATCGCCAACGACTTTGTTGAGGTCGAGCCCTATGACACAAAGGTTGTCACCCTCGGTATTGGCCAGAGAACTGACGTCCTTGTCAAGGCCAACGCCGACAACAGCAACCCCAGGGGTGCCTACTGGATGCGTAGCAACATCACCAGCTGCAGTCTTAGCACCCAGCCCCTCGCCCTTGCTGCCGTCTACTACGATCTGGCCGACCAGTCCAAGGCGCCCACCAGCAGTGCCTGGAACGTTCCTGACCCCGGCACCTGCGTCAACGATGACCTCACTCTCACCAAGCCCGTCATGAAGCTCAAGCCGGCCAACGTCCCCGTCACCAGGACCATGGAAATCAAGGTCTTCCGCAATGACTCTGGTATTGTTCAATGGTCGCTTGGCGGCGTTGACTTCCGCGGCAACTTCAACGATCCCACGCTTCTTCAGGTCAACAAGGGTGATTTGACCTTTGAAAATGACTGGAACGTCCAGAACTTTGCCAATAACGGCAGCGTTCGCATTGTCGTCAGCAACAACAGCCCTGCAGCGTAAGACCACACCTCTCACTTCTTCTTTTTTGTACAACCGACTAACTTGCGCAGTCATCCCATGCATCTCCACGGTTTCAACATGTACATCCTCCACGAGGGTGACGGCCTGACATGGGACGGAACTATCACCAACCCCGAGAACCCTCAGCGTCGTGACGTTCAGCAGGTTCGTGCCGGCGGCCACATGGTCATGCAATTCGACTCCAACGAGAACCCTGGCGTCTGGCCCTTCCACTGCCACATTGCCTGGCACGCATCCGCCGGTCTCTTCTCTCAGTTGCTGGTTCAGCCCGAGAAGGTCAAGCAGCTCCGCATTCCTTCCGCCGTTGCTGATGTCTGCAAGGATTGGTCTGCCTGGACCCAGAGGAACATCCCTGAGGTCATTGACAGCGGTCAGTAGATCTGAGTCTATTTTATTTCTTTGTCTATAGTATCCACGGTGCACTGGTAGCATTTACTTTTCTTGGTTGTGTATTATTCGGTTATTGGGAGGTTTATAGATTTCACATCTAGGCACTTTGTCTGTACATTACCCGGCTAGAAGGATTCAAATGAAACCTACAACATATGCGGATCGCATCGATGTGTGTGATTCTCATTAGCGTGCGCCGAAGCCGACATTGCTCCAGATGCCGAAGTGTCTATAACTCCAAATGTTCTATCAATCGTCTAGCGTTGTTCAAAAGAGCGAGACAGCTAGGCTGTCGATCATCTGATCCACAGAACGACTGATAGCAAGGTGGGCAGTCAGGTGCAGGCGGCGTGTGATGCCATCGCCGTTGACGCTGCTCCATAAGGTCAAAGAACCCCGTAAGATACTTATTATCTTTCTGTCCCTCAGCTCCAAAGATTTCTGACTTCACGATGTTTCGCATTATTTTGCCCCATTCTGATGGTGATACCTCTACCGAGAACAGGCTTGGCGCACTTGTAGACGACGATTCTCCATAGGCCGATGAGCCCGGTAATGCGCCGTGAATTCCAAGGCGCTTCTTCTCTCCGGCCTCCGTCGCTCTAGTCTCTTCTGTCGAGATCGATGCAAGCATTCTCTTGTACGACTCTGTAAGACAAAGACATAGAACGCCAAGTAGGGCGGCGTTCTGGATGATGGAGAAGTACCGGCGCGGGCATCTTTGACAATTTAGAACTTGTAAAGCCGGCTCGAAGGTATTCCGGAGTAGGGCGAAGTCCTCTGGTGCGACAAGATGTTCTTTTACCCGAAGGTGCTCGAGCAACAGGTACAGTACTGAAAGACAGGCGCAATTATCCGTTGTTTGCTGATTGTCTGAGGCAAGGGGAGGGAAAGCTGCAAGACCTTCAGATACGAGATCTTGACTGGGCCTGGACTCATCAAACAAATCGTCAGCGAACGTGTAGTTGTAGTAAGTTGTGGTTGATACGATGCTAAAGTCATACCCTTGATCATTTTCCAAGTCGATGAGATCTGGGTGGATTACAAAAGTCTCCGGGTTGAGAGGGGAGCTGATTCGCGGGCTTGTTGACCCGAGAAGAGCGTCAATTTCTCGTGTATTGCTACTCCCAGAGTCCGATGCAGCATCTGTATGAACGGGAGAGAGCAACCTGGTCGAAGCATTCCGCCGAGGTAGTATCCGTTCCCGACGGATTGGTTGGGACGATTGAGGACGGACACGACGTGATGTCGGCCTACCCATGGGTTTGTGCGGGGAGTAATAGCATTCCCGGTCGAAGGTCCTGCATTTGGAGCAGATCGGACGTTCTCCTGTGCATTTGATCTTTTTAACTCCTGGGGATACACCTGACGTTAGTACATTCAATGTCATTTCCCAAGGACAAAGATCCACTACGCACGGCAAGCCTCGCATGATGCTCGAAGACTCGATCCTCCAACGGGCAAATTTGGAGTCATTGTTCACCAATAAAGATGCGCTATAAACTCGGATAGGTATGTTTCCGGTCAAGAGAAATACGGAGAATGAGCTGAGGAAAGTTGAGCAATGACGACTGATATGAAAGGAACAGGAAGTCAACAGATTAAACAAAGCCACGGAGGGTTTCCGAGTAATCTGTGCTATCGGAGACTTTAGTCCACAATGATTGGCTCATAATATCCGATCGATCCACCTCCACGGAGGGCGTCGCGTTCCCCGCTCCCGAAGTAGCATCCGGGCCCAAGGACGATCATAGATCATCGGGCAATCCGGGTGTAAATAGCATTGTGTATTTAACTTGAACAAACTCCAACGTATTGCCCTATTCATGGGCCCTTTTCGAGCAATAAGATGATGTGTTTTCATACATGAAGTTACGCTAACTTTGCAGGTTCATTCTAATGATCAATTGCAGTGGTGAGATGGTTATCGGTATCTTTTACAGTCCGCCCGGCTCTTACATGAAGAAGCCATGTTGTTACAAATCATTCCAGCCTGCTACTCAATTCCCAGACTTAGGTACTTAGAATCCAGAATGCCATCCTCCAATTCACCCCCTGGCAGTGATTACGCACTCAGCTCAGGCATTCGCAAGATTTCCGATACCCCCTCACGGAACAGCAGCATTGCGTACAAGCTGTGGAAGTGCAATAGGATTCCGGATAGGTGGTGATTTCGAGTCGGGTTGCAAGCCGTTGATTCATAGACGACTTTGACTCTTGCTGGATTTTCAGAACTTCTGACAATGCTGAACCGATGAGCACCTGCAAATTGACTGATGTCTTTCCCGAATACAAAGTCAACGCTACTTTCTGTTTCCGGCTCCGCTTGTGACTCTTTGGAATCGATGAGCTTGACGTGGCTGACTTGAAACGTGCCAAAGACTACGGAATGCAATGGTGGGAGTGTCTCGCATGAAAAGTCTTCAGTTTTCCATATCTGGTTTGACGCCGAAATCGAATTGAGTCCTATAATCGTGTCAGAAACCTGGTCACTCCTGACGAGCGGTTACGAGATTGGTGACTCACCAGCGTAGGACACCAAAGTCGGCCGTGCCGTCTGCAGCAGAAGACTCTCAATTGCCAAAACCTTGCCCGCAAAAAACCCATGGATGAAAGTCGCCAATAATACTTCGTCGCTTAAGTCTCTTGCGTTCTTGGGTAGGTCTAAATCTAGAGCTAGCCTGTCTGCTGATGAGGCATGTCCTCTGGGATTTACTAGAGTCTTGAGAGTATGCGATTGTTTGAAGTTTTCTGAAAGGCCACTACTAGAGACTACCCGTCGCGTGTAAACCGCTCGAATACTTGTGTAGACCTCCCAACCGTGTTTTACGACTAAGGCGCATGGGATCGCTGCTGCTAGGGCGAGCGCGTGACGCCCGCCGATGTGTCGCAGACCAAGGGCCATCTGAGGCACTCGAAGGCGACGTTATAATGATGATGTACAATGTCAGAGTTGAAAAGCTGTTTCTGGCCAAGTCTTGGGTATACAATATTGATGTTACCTCGAGTCTGGACATGCAATTAAGTATGGCAGATATTCAGAAGCTGACATGTCAGACGAAAACAGCCCGCGATCGATTCCCGCCGGCTTTACCCGCGCTCAGTTCTCAGCCCTTGCTACTAACGCCATCCAGCTTAACTGCTCTTTTTGGCGAGTAAAAGTCCGAATTTTTTGACCCTTAAGTATGAATATGAACAGACCATCTCGTTTAAAAATGGTCACATGTGTTGGCATTCATCAATAAGATGACTCAACTTGTCTCATGCAGCCTTTCTGGTCTCGGGATTGTCTTGTAGGGCCAAGATTGAGTTGATGTTAGTGCTTCCCCCCACCCAGTTCCGCGCTGAAGACGGAAACCACAAAACAGACTGGTGATCAGCATGGACTCTCGAGACCGAGACTGCCATGCTTTTCATTGCCTAATGGGAATCGACGTAGCATCATACTTTAGGCGAACGTGAACGAGATGTGAAACTTCATTTGCCTGTTTCAATGGCCCGGCACCGGTAGACCTTCTGAAATGAATGAAATACCTCTAGCCACTCTTTCTTACTCCGCATTGCCCAACACGGGGGATTTTGGGGCAGTTCCAGCTGGGACTTTAGCTGTCAACATAGCGGCTAAGGTCTCACCCGCCAGTGGCAGCTTACACATGGACACTGGTGAAGCTTCTCAGCGCGGGGCTCATGTTTGAACAGCACTTACCTTGTGTGACGTCTACAAAACTAGCAGCGATTGTAGGCACCTTGTTTCTATAAGTAAATTGTATTCATCGTCTTCTCGGCTTTCTACAGAGCATCACATCTCATCATAAGCAAATCAGACTTCATTTCCTTCAGTCAGTCAAAATGGCATCGGCAGACGACAAAACCATCCACCTAGTAGGCATCGGCGTCGGCCACTCAATCGCGCCCCCAATGCACAACGCCATCGCGAAATCCCTCTCTCTCCCCTGGGCCTTCCACGCCACCGAATGTAACACGATCGAAGACCTCGTCCTCCTGGCACGTAAAGACTCAACGGCAGGCCTCGTCGTCACGATGCCCTATAAAAATACAGTCATGCCCCGGCTCGATGCCCTAGACCCCCTCGCCACCACCATTGGCGCCTGCAACAACGTCTACCGCGACCCGTCGAACCCGGCGATGCTGAGGGGGACGAACACGGATTGGCTGGGTGTAAAGGGGTGTCTTCTCGAAAAGGGCGAAGGGCGGGGTCCGGTAGAGGGAAAGCCTGCGTTGATTGTGGGTGCTGGCGGCGCGAGTCGTGCTGCGGTGTATGCTCTGCATACATTCTTCAAGGCCTCTGTGATCTATGTTCTGAACAGAGATGATGGAGAAGTGTCCGATCTTCAGCGCGATGCTCAACGTCTGTCTCCCGCTCCCAAGATTGTTCATGTCAAAGAAGGGGAGTCGAAGATGCTGGAGACACCGTACTATGTGGTCGGAACGGTCCCCGATTTTGAACCTACATCGGCGTCTGAGTTGGCGGTAAGAGCATCTCTAGAAGACTTCCTTTCACGGCCGGAGAAGGGAGTCTTGTTGGATATGTGCTTCAAGCCGCGGCGGACGAGGATGATCAAACTAGCGGAGAGCCTTGGGTGGCCCTCGGTAGAGGGGACGCATGTTATTGGGTACCAGATCGAGGAGCAGTGGAAGCTTTGGGCTGGAGAGGAGAGAGTGAAGGAATTTGACAAGGACGCAGCGTGGAAGGTTCTATTGGAGGCGGCTGACAATAGTCCGGGGATCAACTTCTGAGAAAGTTGACGTTTATGTCTTGAACAACTGAGATTCTGGCTGAAATATGAATACCAGTCAATAGTGACACGCTTGTGGAATATACTGCTAATCAAACGTAGCTTCAATTCAAGTTGAATCGCTTTACAAGCTTCTTCCAGGCTTCAATGCCTCTTCGCGCATGCTCCTCAGGCACCTCCTTATGCTCTTCCGCCATTGTTCGTGAGAATAGTTCCATCGACACCCACCCCTTATACCCGAGTCCCTCAATGAGTGTCCGAGCAACCTCCTCAACCGGCAAGTAAGCCCCGCGATCCGTCTCATACATGTACGTTCTCGCATTTCTCGACCACATCATCCGCGACGGATTGCCGTCCACGTGGAAAGGATGGCCTGTTACGAGAGGTTGTTCCATCCGCTCGGCGTCAACAACCTGGATGTAAAACACCTTTTCCAAATCAACTCTCTGCACCAACCTGTCCATCGATGCCTTCAAGTCTGCGTCTGCGTTGGGGGTCTTCCCGGACGGAGATGCCGGATCACCCCAGACGCGGCCGGCGATGTTGAAGGTGTCGAGGCAGAGGCCGAAGTTTGGGCGGTCGACGCGCGTGGCAACCTCCCAGGACTTCTCCCATGTGTCGACATGCGTGCTCCAGCATAAACTCTCGTACGCAAACCGGATGGGCGGGTCTTCCTTGAGACCCAGATCTGCGAGTTCGACTAAATCGGCAACGATGACATCCATGTCACCAGTTAGCTGGTCGGCGGGGAGGAAGTTGGCGGGTATCTGGATCGTGTTGGTCCCCAGGGTCTTGGCCAACTTAAACCACAGCTTAATCTTCTCGATGAGTCGGGCATGTTGATCTCTATCCAAAAGACCTTCGTAGAAAAGGAATGGCTGTAGACCGATGATTGTGATCTTCAGCTCTTCGAGTACCTTACGGATATGCTCTGCGGCGGAAAGGAGGTGCTCCAGGGTAGGCTGATCGATGTCATGGAGCTTTTTGGCAACGTATTCGAGGTCCTCGTAGAATATCTCGATGCCTTCGAAACCATACTTTGCTGCCTCAGTGGCCTTCTTGTCAAAATCGTGGACCCAGGCGCGGCCGAGAGACGCAGAGAGTATGGCGGGTCGGAAAGCAGTCATGGTTGGACGTGGCGACGGTGACGGCTATGCTTTGAGACGAGAGATTGGGTATCGTCGTGGCGAACAAGCCCCGTAGCAAGACCATATGTGTTCGAAACTGTTGGTTCGATGCTAAATGATCAATCATCCGTCAATGCCATTGACCCCGCACTTCACCCAAAGTTAGTAAGCTGTGCAAGACCCGGGTGATGTCAAAAATGGCAGTTCAAGAAGGCGGCTAAGCGTAGTTCCGGTCTATGCCATTGGCGTCTACTGCATATTCCGCAAGTCCGAAGAATTAGATCAGTTTGGTAAAAACCCAACTTCACCCGGGCTCTTGGTCAAAGAATGACTGGATATCCGTCGCCATGTCGCCTACAACTCCGAGATGCCGCATGAACTCTGGTGGATTTGCCGACCTATTTCCATTTGTTAGATACCGCATCAAATACGATATGCAAAATGTTCGCGTATTTACCAATCAGCTGAGTCGAGATCAGCGAGGCTCATGAAGAGTTCACCGCTAATGTTCTCCGTCGCAGTGTCCATAAGTTCACTGAAGCTCACTTGCGCTTCTGGCTGAAACTGCCGCAGGTCCGATTGATGAGCAGATGTGGATTCTGCTATGGCTTCCATTACCGCTGGCTCGCTTTCGGCGATTTCACTGCGAGAAGTTGTAGGAGGGCTGTGTCTCCGGGAGATTCTCTTTTGGGCATCAGCAAGGGCCGTCTTTAAGGATTGCAAATCCCCAAGAGATCCTCCGAGCCCCTGTATGCTATTCATTCGGTATTCATAAGCGGCTTCGAGGCTATTGAGAAAGGCTATCGATGTCGGAGGCATGCGAAATGTCTTGGTGGTGTCGAGAAGTTGAAGAAGAGATTGCTCTTGAACAAGCATTTCCGGGGGTCCCTTGCTGGGCACTCCATATGGTGTACCCTCAAGGCGTTGCCCTTGTGTCGTAAGAGTCTCGGAAATACTGGCACAAGCGAGACGAAGATTCGTATCCTGTGGCGTGTTTGCGACATCATGCTGATTTCCATGGTCCGGCAGACGACGCTCCCTCCATTCTTCAAAGTCCCTGATGATATGATAATAACGGCCAATATTGTCTCTTCTCATCTCGAGTCTCACAATATCATTTAGAATGGAAACAAGAAGGAAGAAGGAATTGAACGTGCTCAATGTCAGTCCTGGAGTGTGGCTCGGCGGCTGCGCCTGGTCATCCAAATCTTTTGAATGCCATGGCTCCCATTCTTCCATGGACTCTGTGACAAGCAAGCCAAAGCGCTGTGCGTCCGAGGAGTCGAGATATGGCCGTGACTTTGCCAAGCTTGCGATGAGCGTGTCAAGGACAAAGACGCACATAAGTGTTCGCCGTGTGCCCTCGTCTTTCTGCAAGGGCCCATCGCTAATGACAGTAAGAAACGACATGGCAGCTGAGTATGTGGCTTGGCCGATTGCGAGCCACGCGGCTCCAATGTCTTGCTCTTCCAGTCTAATGAGTGCCACAATGAGTATGGCTCGTATGTGACCGATCTCATACTTTCCATTGTCTTTGGCTAGAATATCTGTCGCTGACTCGAGGAAGGCCTTTGAAAGCTCCAAAGATCCCGACTGGCGCAGGGAATAGGCCATGACTGTCCAGAGAAAGCAGGGATCCCCGCTATGTATAGCATTTGATGTGTTGGCATCCTTATCGTTATTGGCTTTGAGGTAGACCAATCGCATAAGATCGTGCTTCTGCACCACGGGTAGCCATGAATGTGTGTTGGCGAAGTACACGTCCAGTAGCTCTGCCCAATTTGGAGGTATCTGCGGCGGGGAGGTGTGGCGTTGTGGTGTTGGGACCTGTGGCATAACCAAGGCATTTTGTGGGAAAGTCGGCTGATGCGAATAGAGTGAGAGAGTCGAATCGATATCCTGTTTCGATAGAGTGATTGTTCCAGTCGGTGAGTAGTCGGGTTGGCTGGCGTTGGTATATGCGGGAGTTATCATGTCTGGTCCGTTGTCAACGTTAGGGATCTGGTCTGCCGAGAACTTGGCTGCGAGTTTGGTGGCCTCCCTGATGCCTGACTCGAACTTCTTGAAGGCTTCGCCATCTTCGAGGCTTTCTGCAGGTTCATCGACAGAGAGAAGTCTCTCCACTGTCTTCGAAGTGGTGCTTGTCCTCCAAGACTCCGCCAGTGTATCAGTGACATCCGTTTTGGAGGAAATCAGCAGACTCAAATCTTGTAACCCGAACTTCGGTCGTCGTTCTTCACCATCGAGTATCGCAGCCAGCCAGTCATCAGCGTCGTCGATAGTGTTGACTATCATGCCAAGAAGTAGCTCAAGAGCTCTTACGTATCCAGTGCGCAGCCCACGTTTCTTCGCAGGCCCGTAGCTACAGCTACGTCCGATGCTCAGGCAGGAATTGCATGAGGGGCGGATCCCATCGCATCGGTCTTTACGCCTTCGGCATTCGTTGCAGGCTCGGGTAACGCGTAACCTGACTTTGCCTCGGGATGTTTTTCCTTCGTCAGATTCTTCTGTGGCGTCGGTTTTGGTCTTTTTCGACCGTCGCGGTGTCGTCGGTGATGGGCCATCATCGTCCCTGCCCCTGGATTGTCGCTTGGGTGGGCATGAGGCCATCTTGCCAGTCTACTCGATTTGACTGGGAACAGGTCCGTGGCAACATTGAACCGTTAATTCAATGGACGAAATCATAGAAACTGATTTAGACAATTCAGGTAGATTCCTCGCGGTGTTTCGCAATGTCAAAAGTAACAAAAGGCAGATGGACAGAATGCGTGGTCATAGCCCCACTGGCTGTATGTACTTACTAGGAAAATGCATCAATGGAGGTATGCAATACAGCAATAGCTGCCGTGCTGCCTTGCAACTGACATTCCCGAATTGCGTGCATAGAACAAATGCAACACGACTGACGTTAATCTCAAAATCTGCCAATGAGTACTTGTACGCTCAAGAATTGTTTATGAACGATACGAGCCTCTTTTCAGTAACCAGGCAGAGAGATACTCGGCCATGTTTTGAAGCGTTTTAAAACATTAGTCTCGACCACTATAGGCAATATTCCAACAGACAGCATACGTGAGTGTCCGATCTCAGGCGGCTAAGGTCTTTGCCGCTCAGATTTCCCACTTCGGCTACCAAATCGATCTCACTGCTCGCTGCAATTTTCATAATTCTGGGTAGTCGAGGGTCCAAGAACGAAGTAAGCATAAAGACAGAACTCATCATTCAATTGTGTACTTCTCCCTGCCAATCGGGGGAGAGCAGTGACATTCATCTCACTGGCCACAATGTGGGAACCTGTGAGATCTCGAGCGAATTCAGGAGTTTGATTTTCCGACAAGTCCAAATTCATTCGAGACATAACGAAAAACAACAACTAAAAACATTCGAACACGTTATAGCCATGGATCGCATTTTCCGCCTAATTCCCTTTCTCTTCTGCGTTCCAAGAGTCATTCCTCCACGCAGCTGAATGCGCCCGCTCCCCCTCATTACGGTCCTTGATGCTGTCCAGATAGGACCGGAAAGATTTGTTCATTTCCATCACATCCTTGAAGTGCTCAGCCTCAACAATGATCTCCTGTGTCTGGTCATAGTCCGAGGCATTTTTAGCCTCGTACTCGGCAAGCGCGATGGCTGTTTGAAAGGCGTTGCGAATCTCACGGCCGTTCCAATCCGTATACTCAAGCACCTCGGGTGTCTTCAAAAACTTCTTGGCGCCATTGCTGATGCGAATTACTCCCTTTCGCTCGCGGTTAAGCTTCGTAAGAAGGCTGTCCCAAATCTTTTCACGTCGTGTACCATCGAGCGGATCGAAGCCGATGACAGCGTGAACACGAGACATGAAGGCGTCATCAATGTGGCCGACCCTATTGGTCGTGAGAAACAGAAGACCTCCAAAGTACTCTATCTTTCCCAAAAAGGCTGTTATAGATGGTCACTTAGTAGAAAACACTCCAAAGCGCTGTGTCCACGACATCAACGTACCCGAGACGATTGCATTGCGCGCAAAGTCCTTCTTCTCGCGCCGCTCGAGGAAGAGGTCACACTCGTCGATGAGAAGGATAGCACGCCATTTGTCAGCCATCTTGAACCACCTGGTCAATTCCTCTTCCAGGGTGGTCGTTCGAGTGCGCAAATCTGATGTCGAGAGACTGATCAATGGCTGCCTCTTCCGCATGGCGATGGATTCTAATCTTGTCAGAAGTGCAACATAGGGGGCCACATGCAAGATTTCAGGCATACCAACTGTGTAAGTCTTTCCCACGCCTGGAGGCCCTGAAATTGACATCAGTAACTGATGTTCATCTCGGACTATAAGTTGTATACTTACCGTGAAGGAGGATGACAACTCCTTCACCTTTATTCTTGATGTAATCGGCTGACCAGGGTTTGGGTGACATTTGGCGTTCGGCCAGCGCCTTGATGATCTTCAGCTTTTCACTGCTGACGATCGCTTCAGGTACTTCCTCTTGTGCCAAGTCCTGGATGTTTCCCACATGTGCTGAGACTATCCACTGTTAGCAAATTGGTTCGGGGCTAGTCTGGCGAGGTAGTCTTCGGTACCCCAAGTCTTCGCTGGAAGAGTAAAGCCGGCTACGACTGGGCAGATGATAAACTTGTGAGCTACTGTCAACGAGTCTCTCGAGTCTTTCGTGGGATCAAGCCAGAGTGGCTGCAACACTTCCGAAGAGCCATTTGCAGGCCTAGTTTTGTCCACGGGTTCCGGGTCCATGTCGAAAGCCCATTTATCTTCCTCGAACTGTATTGCCTGATCACCAAATGCACTGAGGATAATTTGCCCTTTGTACTGCCGTGGGGTTAACTTTTTGCTAGTTTAGAGATATCAATGACGCACCTTCATTTTCTTGTTGCTCATCAATTCGCCATCGTAATTGGCATATTTGTGCCCATTCCAGAGCATGTCGCAGATCTGATCACCACGAATCTCGAAGTCTTTCTTCCGATCGCCCTCAAAATATTGCTCTGGATAGACATCAAGCTGTCCCACCTTCTTCTCACCTTCGAACTTAGGAATGTCAATGGTGTGGGACGCAGGTATCAGTGTTCCGTAGGACCAATGCATCGATAGGAACCAGATCTTCACTTCCCATCGTTCTGGGAGATTGTCCTCTTCGTCTGGCGGACACTTCGTGGTGTCTTCGATAACGCATCCCATCCAATGGCCATCCCATTTGCAATAACTTTGCGACCCAGGTCGTAGTAGATACCATAGGTCATCCCAAGTAGTGGTTGGCGAGTCTTGCCCCAGACGTCTTTGTATCGTTTCTAGCTGTTTCTTGACGATTGGAGTCAGATATTCAATCAAGACACCTAGGTGCTCCAGTTGGATCTTGCGGTCACTCTCTTTCGACTCAAAAGATTCCTCGGAAGAGCTGTGAGTCTGATTCAATTTTTCCCAGTAGTGCAGCAGAACTCCGTACGGTTCGTGGATTAAAATGGTCTCTCCGGTCAGGTTTTGGCCCGGGTAATAGTCGACAGTATCGCGGATCAGCTCAGACAAGTACGGGGAATGAATGATGATACGTGAACTGTCGATTCCTCGTATGACCTTATCGTCCATTGTTTCCTTCTTGCCTTTAAAATTTTGGTCACTCTTTTCGTTGGCTTGCTTCGAGTCACTCTTGAGTGCAACACGCATGCTGGTGATGACCTCAATGATAGGCTTAGCTGTCTCATCATGCTGAGGAACCTGAGATGGAAATGGCTCATCTTGGGAATGGGAAAAGTTTTGGCCGTCATAGTTGAAACAGGCCGCTGTGTAACGTATTCTTGATGGCCTCCGAGGAGGCTCGGTCTCCTTGACCGTTTCTTGTGCAGAGGTGTCCATATTCTCTGTCACCTCGGTCTTTGGAGTGTCTGACTTTCCCGATGCCGGGTCGTCCACGGGTGAATCGTTGTTAGGCATGGCCGTGTGGGGGCTTGTGACGGTTGTTATTACCGACATTGTTTTGGGTTTTCCTTAGGATAAGGGACGACGCCTAAAGAAATGGGCCTACCTTGTAGGCTACTGATATCCAGGCAGAAAAGGATCTAGAACAGGGTTCAGTCTCAAAGATCTGCTTTATATCGTTATAACTCCAAGAAAGTGGTATGCCCATACGATGATACCTGCACGTGTCCGCTTCCAATCCTTGCTCCAAGGATGAGTGGATGGTTTGCATGGCACCCAGAACAACGACCTTACAGTACAAGCAGCCCGTCAATACCACGTTAACTCATTTTAGATGCGCATGATACTTTGCAAAATGTGGGAAACTGTCTCATTGGCTTAGATAAGAACCTTTACGATGTCCAAGAGCGGGTATGGCTGCAGATGTACCTCTTTCAGCATGATTAGAAAGGGAAACAAGTGTCAGCCTGCATCAACAAAGCTGGCTATCACAGTCATCCGTTGGTCCTCTCAGGCTTCCCGATCGCCAATATATTGGCGAGAACAGTCGATGTCAAGCAGGCTCGCTGCGCTATGCGCTTACTGCGGAGCAGGTGTTGGTCCGGTAAAATAAGGCTCTCCATCCTTGTAGCCGATAGGCTCCTGACCCTTGCCCATGTTCAAGGATGTGGAAGAATCTTACGCGCCGGACAGGCAGGTGATGTTGAGAAGATCGAGGCTGGCCATTTAGTTGCATTCTGCTTATTCCTGCTTGATATGGTTCAGGTCAATGTGAGCCTCTTGGGCGTGGCCGCGTGTTTGATTCATCACGTTCATCTGAAGGCTGGCCTTGGTATCGAAATCATTGGTGCGGTTTGATGCGAGTGCGTATAAATATATGCGAACCACGTTTAGCCTGCATATTCAGTTATTTCCAGCATTTTGAACCCTCACCCCGATTTTGAAAATCATCTGCAGGCAAGATTCCGAAAGCATCTTACTCTCGTGCTTGAATCGAGTAAGGTCTCAGCCTGATTTATTTTTAGCAGCTCGATATCGGACACCAGGAGTAGTTGCCTTGTTCTGCTGCAGTTTTCATGTTTTCCCTTTGATTATTCGTTGGTAGGTAACAGACGTCTGTCATATCTTCTTCACGACTTTCCAACCTGTTTTCAAATGTCTCATGCCCATCACTCAGAAATTGAAAGGAATTGACCCCCACTGCCATGATATCTGAGAGCGTCAAGGTAGCAGAGCCTGCTCTGCAGATTGTGCGCCGGTACACCGACCAGATGCAGCAAGAGGGCACTCGGGGAAACCTAGGGTAAGGAGACCAAATATCCAGCGGGTATTTTCAGAAATTGATACTTTGAGGCTATAGGCAAGCACTCGTTACCAAGGCAGACTTCGAGAGACGAGAGGAGGCACTGGGAAGAAGCACTCCTCAGGTCTCAGCGCTAGAGTCATTGGAAATATACCAAGACACCAATTTAGGGTGAGGTTTATCGAAATATTACGCTACTTGCAGGGGATCTATTCTGACAATGCTGCGGATAGAGACATTGACTTGCATGAGGCTGCCCTCTTGGCCGACATATCTCGGGAGCTAGAGGCACAGTGGCCTAAGGTCGTCAAATCTTTACCGAAAAGTGAAAGAGATAGCATTCCCTCCAAACCGGATATTCGAACGCTTGCTAGACTTTTCAGTCAAGCACAGAACAAGCTCAATGCAAAATCGAACTCAAAGTCTGGCAAGATCAAATCTTGGTTTGTGGGAGTAGCGAAGTCTATCAACAACCATAAGTATTTGCTCAGACTTCTACCTGAAGGAGACAAATACACCTCAGTCTTGGTTGGCTCTTTCACAGTCTTAATCCAGGTATGATCTTGTTTATCTTTATCAAAACTTAGCTGCCCCTATTGGTAACATTGAGGTGATGCTCCGTTACTAATGGTAGAAAGGTTGCGGTGACATACAATGAGACTGCGGAAAATGTATCCGACTGTCTGGAACGTCTCTCAAGCCAAGTACCGCTCCTTGAAGAGGCTCTCAGGGCAAATTCCCGTCACCCGTACATCAAGTGGCAAGTCAGCAAGTACTATTGCCACTTCTTCCGATTTCTGGTACATCTCTTGACAGAATGGCTTTCATGCTCCTCTTCGAAACGCTTCTTCAAGAGCTTTGGAGACAGCATTTTGAGTGCCTGCGACTCGGCAATTAGGAAGATGACAGCGTGCAAAGACGATATCATGCATCGAATCATCCTGATGCAGCAACATACAATCACCGACATATTTACAAAGCTTGACCAGATTGGGAGTTTTGTCCAGGCCGGCTTGGTTGGCACTGCTGTCGATCGATCCAGATTATGCGACGCTCCAAGGGCTTCTTCAACAATCGAATTGCCGTCATCAAAGACATTACCACAGAGTTACAATCCTGACGCAAGAAGTGAAAAGGTAGTGACCGTCAAATTCAGGGGTTCTGACCAGGAATTTGATTGCAGCGGTGGCCAGAGAGAAATTGAGCCGGAGCTAGTTGAAGATGAACTCGCCGAAGAGAACGAGTTTTGGACATTCGAAAGAATGAAAGAGTCTCTGAAGCACTTGGATACTTTCCATCAAGATGCTCACATTTCATCTCTAACGTCTCCGCTGAAGCAAGTATCCGTGAGTGCAGAGATGCGGGCTGATCTCGTGAAGATGGTTTCTTCGAGGCAATCGGCAGCTCTCTGGATAGAAGGGCCTGGTAAGTGATCCCCCTTAGTTACAACCCGGGAATGGTTCTCCAGCTAATTCTCTTCGATGTCAAGACAACAATGATTTGCCCTCACAGGCGACTTTGCTAGCAGCCCAGATGGTTCACGATCTCGGTCAGCTGAATATTCCTACGCTCTGTCACTTCATCCACCGACCAAAAAAAGCGTCTTTGGACCGCGAGCGTGCGCTCCTGGATATGGTGTACTCTCTGGTATACCAGATATCCCGGGCACTTCCGGAGCATGCGCAATTCGAAGCAGGTATTGTCGAAAAAGTCAAATCGATTTCCCCGGTCCCGCAGACCCGTTCCGAGGTGACCCGTAGTTTAGCTCCAGCGATCAACCTACTCGAATCCTTGTTGGAATATCTTCCCCCGCTGTTGTTCTGCGTGGTAGACGGGTTTCAGCTTCTCGTGAGACAGTCGAACTCTCCAGAAATGAAAGCAGCTACCAAGCATTTCATCGCTTGTATCTGCGAGGCAGCAACGCGCCAGCTCATAGATCAGCCGTCGATTTTCAAATCGCTTTGGACCACGGATGGGCCCTGCAGGGACTTACAGCAAGCGAGAAGGAGTCGAGTTCTGGCACATTTGGGATACGAGGACGATGAGGAATTCGAGTCACTGGCTCTTCGTGGTAGAGAGATGTCGCCACTGACAGAGGGGTAACCTTTCATTCTGGCCAAATCTATGTCCAATGTTTGGGAAGTGGTTTAACAGATTTATTTGATCGAATTTATTTATGCCTTGGGCTTGATATTCTTAACGGCATGATCAATAGCATACCCATATCCATGAATTCCCAACCCCATAATAACCGCAACCGCCTTGTCGCTCAAATAGCTGTGATGTCTGAAGCTCTCTCTCGCGTGCGTGTTGCTAATGTGCAGCTCGATGAAGGGGATATCGACGCCCAGCAGCGCGTCGCGGATGGCGACGCTCGTGTGTGTGTAGGCGGCGGGGTTAATGATGATGACGTCGACGTTGCCCCGCGCCGCGTGTATGCGCTCGACGATGGCGCCCTCAGTGTTGGATTGGAAGGATTGCAGGTCTGCGCCGAGAGACTTGGCGTGTTCTTTTGACTGCGTCTCGAGCTGGGAGAGTGTGGTCGAGCCGTAGATGTGTGGTTCCCGGGTACCGAGGAGGTTCAGGTTGGGGCCGTTGATGAGGAGGATTGACTTTGCCATTGCGATTGCTGTTCTGGACTGTTCGTGGTATTTCAAGAGGTTTGTTCGTCTTGTAGGACAGGTGGAACAAGCTTCGTAGGACGAATCGCGAGGGTAATTGATGATGTACAGGTGAGATATCGAACTTGCAAAGGGAATTAGATGCAGGATCTAAAGATTTCAAGTAGGGAGCTGGAAAATAAAAACTGGTTAAACACTTTCCCCAGGTTCCCCTCAAATCATCTCCGCGTGGACCGAGTCAAGCCCAATTCGCTCCGTGAATCGGTGCGGGGAAACAAGATGCGGGACCCCCGCGCCCCCGCGATCCCAACGCGGCAAAGTTTTCATCCGTTCGGCCTCTCACCAACGCACCGAGATGGAAGAGCCGGATAATGTGCCGAATAGCGAAGTGCTCCCTAATAGGATGGCCTCGTGATTGGCTTAGTCACTTACATGATGTCTTTTCCGGCATATGAGGTCTGCATCGCGGTAGATGCTCATTATTGAACTCCAGGTTTGCAAGGAAACGGTGATCACTAGGCAAATCACTCCTTGAAAACATGCCTGATTTACACAGTCTTCCTGCAGGGTCCCGTCCCATCAACGCCATCCGCAACAATGGGCCAGATCACTTGGTTCTAGAAAGATTGAAGTTGAGAGAATTGGCAGAAGGATGGCCGTCTTACAGGTAAAACATCGCCCAATTTGTGGTCAAATGAGCATCACTTTGGCAGGTTGTAACTGATCAGCATTGATCTCCAGGGACGCCTGCGAATGGGAAAACTTCGAGTCCATCTTCCACCCAGGGGCCTACGTCTACTCAACCTGGTCAGGCCGCGTCCCTTTCACAGACTTCATCGCGGCTTCCAAAGCAGGGATGGACAAAGGCGCCTTTATCATGCACCGCTGCCACGGCTGCAGCACAGATATCAACGCCGAGGGCACCAGGGCCGTGACCAAGCTCAAGGCGACGATTACACAGCGCTTCGAGATTGACAGCGTCGAGTTTGACGTAGAAGCTGACTGCCGCTTCTGTTTCTACTTTGAAAAAGTGGGAGATCGATGGGGCGCGCGTCTGGTACGGCATTGGTATGAGAAGGATAAGGTGATTCCCTGCAACCCGGCCAAGTTCCCCGAGATTGATGAGGGAAAGTTGGCTGCGTTTCCTCCTGGGTACAAGTATCTCGCGTATTTCCAGGAGCTCACGATGGGAGTCAAAGTTCTTTTGAATATGCCTGGGCATCGGCGTCATGTTGGGACGGTGAACCTGGACAAGCACGACTTACTTTACTGGCAGGCCAAGGAGTGGCTTGAAGGAAATACCATAGACGTGTAGAGGACTGGCAAATATGATATAATGGTGATCAAAGAAATGCCTTCCCAAAATCCTTTTCATGATCTTCAGATTCTATGTCGCAGACTAAGGTAGGTGGTGAAGTATTCTGCGCAAAACATAGTGCTACACACACGCTGCTGTCGGATGGTTGTCTGCACCTTCATGGAACTTGATCTCCTTCCACCTCAACAATAAAGTAGAGGCTGAATTGAGGGTAGAATATCCGAATTTCCACCCGAGTTTACTTAAGTCTTAAGCTCTGTCTACGGCATAACATTCTATCATCTCTCATTGATCTTAGCCTGCATGGCAGCCTTCATCGCCTCGACTGGTGCTTCTTTCCCAGTCCACAACTCGAATTGGGCATAAGCCTGTTCCTCCAGTACATCAACACCCTTAAACGTCGTCCAGCCCGGATGCCGTGATGCCGTCTTCATCATACCAGTAACCTGCGGTCTATACGCCATCTCAACCAAAACTCCCTTCTCAGCGCCAAACAGCCCTGCAGGTATCTTGTCCTCGCCAAAGTCATCCGCAGGAACGCAGGCGACAATGACTCTCAAAGGAAGTCTATCCAAGCCATCTCGCTCCCTTTCGGTAGATACGGCATCTTCCAAGGTCTCAAAGACCTGGCAATCAAGGGCTGGGAACTGTTCCACCATCTCGGCCGCCTTCGATATCGTCCTGTTCACAACATGAAGCTGCGTAATCCCCAACTCCTGGATCGCATAGCAAGCCGCGCGAGCTGCCCCACCAGCACCCAGAACCAGCGCAGTCGAGGAACGAAGATCCGATATTCCGCTGCGCTCGATGCATCTCCTTATCCCATGCCAGTCCGTATTATCGCCCACAAGTCGCCTATACCGCTTCCCCGGGTCCTCCTCGACGATGACGGTATTCACGGCCCCAATCTTCTGGGCGCAGGGAGTGACTGCATCCAAGAGCTTGCCAATCTGTAGTTTGTGCGGAAAGGTGACTGATGCGCCCCCGAAGTCATTGGCGCTGATGATGGATTCTACCGAGGCGTCAACGCTCTCTGTCTGGTGGATACCGTAATGATGTGGGAGGGCAAGTTCTCGGAATCCTGTGTTATGAAGGGTTGGAGAGAGGGTGTGGGAGATGTTATGACCGAAGATGAAGAAGTTCCTCTTCAGGATAGAGGGGTTTGCTTCCATGGACCCCATTATCTCTCAGGCTTTGGCGTCTTTGACAGCTTGGCTTTGCTAGCTCGTGATCTGAGCTAGAGGTGTGGAAAAGTTTGAGTGCGAAAGGCTTCGTGGGCGGTTTAGGTTCGATATGCCTGCAGCTGGCACAGAAATATCCATGCTATACTCAGTAAACCTACACTGCGATGTTAAAATGACACTGCGATTCTGGCGCCGTGATATTGATCGTTCATCGGCATCATCGGTCAGAAGCTTGGCGTGTGTCTTGTCAGGACGGTAAAGGTCTTTCCCGCTACCATCAGGCTAGCCACCACATGCGCTTTTTGTGGGCAACGTTTCCTCATGAAGGATATTTCCCACACACTCATTGACTGCACACACCATTCTACCAGTGAGTAATTCCATTGACTGCTCATTATCAAGTGTGGTGAAGAAAATATCATCATTGAAACGCTACGCTCACATGAATGCTAACCTTGCCAAGATTGCTACCCTCTTGTTGGCATCTTGCCCCCGTCTGCAAGCCTTTCTTTATACGCTCGCGAAATCAACTCACGCATCATCTCGATCGGAGGTTTGCGTGCTGTAAAAAGCTCAAATTGTCTCTTACCCTGTTCCGGCAAAACACTTAGGCCGTCGACGGCGATCCACCCCTGGTCGCTCATGCCACGGATCTGCTTCAGGAGAGGTGTTTCCAGAGGCGTATACGATAGCTGTGAATGTATGTTAGCAGTGTCACCTCATTTGATCCGTTTGCAGATATCGAACTTACCTCAATGGCTACTCCGCCTGTAGGACTAGCCAGCCATCCCGGAGGCAGACTCGTATCAGCCGACGACTCCCCGTCGATCTCACGCGTGGAGATACACGATACCACAATGGTTGGAAAGTCAGCGTCGTCTGGCCACTTATCATCTTTGGATTCTATAACATGGATCGTGGGACTGTTTGGAGGAGCGTCAACTTTCGGCGAGGCGTTGACCTCCGTCGGCGTCGATGCCCCGTCGCTCGTGAATCGGTACCCGTTGAAGTGCCTTACAACCTCTTCAGCTGTCCTCGTCGTTCGATTGTGTATAAGCACGGTGCGGACACCGAGCCTCAGAAGCCCGTATATCGCTGCACGAGCCATACCTCCCGCACCCACAACTAGTGCCGTTGTCCTCCTCTTGACGCCGTTGATGGGAGACAGGTTGTGCCGAATGCGGGTGTGTATCCCGATCCAGTCCGTGTTATCGCCATACAGAGCAACGACTGGGCCAGCTCTGTTGCGATCAAGCAAAGACTCAATGTTCCGCGACCGCAGAGGCACCAGCGTGTTGACGGCGCCAATGGCCCTGGCTTCTGGGCTCGTGAAGTCGACAATGGCAAAGACCTCCTTCTTGAAGGGGGCTGTGATACTCGCGCCTCCAAAGTTCTCGTCGGAGATGAGCTTACGTAGGTGATCTAGGGTAGGCTGGTGAAAGATCTTGTACTCGTGCGGCATACCGCAGAATTTGAAGGCGGGGTTATGCATGCTTGGCGACAAACTTGTGGATGCGTTGGTGCCGTAGATGCCAAAGTACATCGGGTCTAGGAGAAAGGAAGAGTAGAGTGCCTTTTGCGCCTCGTGGATCGTCAAGAGGCAATGAGGCGAGCCGCCTGGTGCCAGTCTCCGAAGCAAGTTCATGGTGACCGGCGTAAAGGTCGGGTTCATGAAGCAGGACATGCGGCCGAGGCGGCCTGTGTTGTACGCAATAAGCGGGATCGTCACATCTCTGGGCTTGCCGGCGCCATGCTTGAAGTGCTGAATCTCGAAATTGTCCTTGGTTGACTTTGCCTCGCGACATATTCGGACGACGTCGCAGCCCAGGTCCTCGGCCAACCTCATCTTGTCCTCCAGACCTGGGTTCCGCCAGCCGCTTGGAGAGAGGGAGTTGCAGGTGTAGTGGGCGATGATTTTTGTTGTTCCTTTACTTGCGACTAGATCTCGGATGATGTTCTCGTCGCAGCGGAGATCTACGCAGAGGTACTCTGGAGCGAGACGGAGGCCGTGGTTTAGGACGCTAAGGTAGTATGCGGAGGCGTGTTCTTGCGAGAAGCCGCTCATTATGCCCGTAGATGAGGATTCGAGTTCGAGATTGAGGATGATAGGGAGACGAGTGAATCTCCTGACGGCATAGAGCAAGCGACAGACGCGATTCGCAGTTGCATCATCGAAATCGGCCGACGTTGCCTGTAGTTCCCTCACAGGGATGACTAGTTCCGCAACATCGGCTGTTGTCGTGATATTTCGAAGCTCCGCCCCGGCGGTCTCTACCAATGACATTGGCAAGTTGAGAGAATATGTGTATGGCCGGCGCTCCAGTGGTAATGAAGCAGAGCCCTCGGTGGCACGGTACCGTTCCGAGCCCTGCCTGTCGCTTTCCATGATGCTGTCAATGAGTCCGAGAAAGTCGTACTCCACCCGCTTTAACGCAAGAGACCTCGGTGACTGGTGGCCGGGGATAGTGGCGAGCTCGCCCGAGGCCTTCCCTAGGGTATCTGAAATGTTGTAAAATTCAAAGTTGGATATCGATCGATGCGTTGGACCACTAAGTTGAAAGAGTCGTGTGATAGCCTCAGTATCCCATACCTTGAGATGCTCCTTCACGTCTTCCGCATCTCTCAGGACATAGATGATAGGATGCGTCTGTCCATATTCCGCAAGCCACGCCTGCCCCGTCTCTTCCACAGCTCCTGGCCCACACGCAATAATAGACTTTGTCGGATTCTCGAATAGCATGGCATGCAGAAGCTTCAGCTCTTCCCTTCGATATTCAGCAGTACCGTGCTGTGTCTTGTAACTGGCTCGTGAGAGGCCCGTCATCTGGAAGAATTGCTGGTCCGCGTCGAGTAAGCGGAACCCTAAAGCGCTGGCCGCGATCACGGCGAGAGTTGAGCGGCCTGTGCCTCGGATTCCGACGAGCACGATGGAGGCGTCGGGGGCGTAGCTACGTCGGCCGGG